GTTCATTAATGGTTGGGCATGCGGCTTCAGCCCAAAGAGGCTTTTGCACCCTTTTCCAGCAGGCCTCCTCCTCGTTGCTTTTATGGTGCTGCGCTGTTTTATGGCACACCTCCTCTTTTGTGGCATTGGGGCCATGTTCTTTAATGGTTGAGCATGCTGCTTCGGCCCAAGGATTCTTTCACGCCCTTTTCCAGTGTGCCTCCTCTTTGTTTTTGAAGTGCCATGCTGTTTTGTGGTGTGTTTCCTCTTTTGTTGCATTGGGGCCATGTTCTTTAACAGTTGGGCAAGCTGCTTTGGCCCAAGGAGGCTTTCACTCCCTTTTTCAGCATGCCTCCTCCTCTGCTTTTGCAGTGCTGTGCTGTTTTGCGGCACACCTTCTCCATTTCCATGGCATTTGGGGCTGCATGTGGTGGCAGTTGCTGGCACTATAGGCACCAGATCCCCATCTGATCTTGGAAGCTAAGCAAGATTTGGCTTGGCTGGTGCTTGGATGGGGAACTACCAATAAATAGCAGATGTTCTGGCTATAGCTCCTCACTTGGGCTGCCTGATTGGTTGGAACCCATTAATATAGGCTATATTTCAGAGCATCTCAACTGTTGGGTCCTGCTGTTACAGTATCAATGACAATCTATGCTAATCAATTCTATGACTCATGCTAGGTGTTTAGCTATCATACAATGCTCCCTGTATTATTAGTATTTCATAATTTTTTACTGATATCTCATTGTTTTATTGTTGTTATTAATTATTGGCTGTACTTCCAATTTGATATACTCTGTCAATTTTATTCAAATTGGCTAAAGGGAAAGGGTGCAACAAGGGCAAAGGTCCCGCTCCAAAGGTTCCTAAATGTACATTAGTTGAGCCTTATTCATCTAGTGATGATTCCAATGATTTACCAGTGGAAGAGATGTTTTCTAGGATTCAAGCCTTGGAGAAATCACATAGGGTGTTGTCTAGTGCTCTTCTTCAATATTCTTAATCCCCTAGGGCTGCTTCTAAGTGTGCTAGATACAAACAGTTTTTTAACAAAATTAAATCTCCCATCAATGTTTTAGAACAGGAGCGTACTTAGGTTGCTTGGATGGTGTCAACTTCATTGGGTACCATGCCACAACCAGATATTGATGTCACACTTCACCAGCTGTGGTGCCACCTTCATCAGGTGAGTCGATCACTTTATATAGTGCTCCTGTTGCTGAGTACTTGTGGCCATGTTGGGGTGCCTGGTTACTCACATGAACAAAATCACTCTTTACCAAACAAAAGGGACAGCTGTACCACCAGTAACACAGTGGCCAGTAGCCCCACCTGCTTGAGGTATGTGGCCTGGCTATTCAATGATACCCTCTTACCTACCCCTGCCAGCCAGCAACTTACCCCAATTAGGGTCTCAAGCCAAGCATGGCTACAACACAGTATCACCCTCTGCTATTCCCTACGGTGAGTTATCCCTTCCTTTAGGGCAGGGGTAGGCAACCTTTCCCCTTTAAGGGCCGAGGGACTTCATCTCCCAGAATTCCAGGAGCTATTGGCCAACATGGGACTATTGGCCAACATGGCTGAGGCTTCTGGGAGATGAAGTCCCTCGGCCCTTAAAGGGGACAGGTTGCCTACCCCTGCTTTAGGGGATCACCTTCTGCAGTCGGCCATAGACAAGATACTCAGGGGTGAATATGTAGAGATCTTTCCCCTACTCTACCAAGAGATAGGGGGAAAAAGACATAAGGATGATCTTGATGATAAAGATAAGGAGGCTTTAAAATGGTAAAAGGTTGAAAGCAATTTCGCTAATTGGTTGAATGGGTTCCATATTTATGCAGGTGTAATTGCTAAGGCACAGCCTATGTACACAGCAGCCCTGATTCAAAACATGGACATTATTCACTGGGCTTATGTCAACTACTCTGGGCCTGCTTGGCTGCTATATGATGAAGCCTTCTGTATATGTGCAGCCATTTACCTTACTTTACGTTGGGATCTTCTACACTCCCAACCCTTGATGCAACTGATGACCCCAGCTCACCCCATGCAAGGCGAACATATACATAGTGGGCATTTGATCAAAAAAATCTGGAAGTACTTCATTTACCAGAACACAAGAAAAAAACTTCTGTGTTGTGAATTTAGCTTTCAGGGAGCATGCAAATATAAACATGAGTGTTCGATCTGTAAACTCCTTTTGGAATTGCACCAGAGAAAGGGGCAAATCAGGTGCTAAGAAGGTCAATACAATAGGAAAGGGGGAGGTGCCCCCATCTCCAAAAAGGATCCAGTCCAATTAAGATACAGGTACTGAGCCATCTGTTGTCATCATACCCGAACCGCCAAGTGGCCCAGTATTTGTTACAAGGTTTTTGTCATGTTTTTTGTATCCCATTTCAAGGAGTGCATTGCCCTTTCTTATCTAATAATCTTATTAAGTCTATCACAGTCATGGAGCACATTGTTAGGGCAAGGATCTCAAAAGAGGTTTCTGAAGGTCAGGTTGTAGGTCCATTTTTAGTTCCCCCAGTTAGCAATTTGAGTTTCCCCCTTGGGCTTAGTACCCAAGAAAGCCCCAGGTGAGTTCCGCATCATTCATTACTTGTTCTACCCCCATGGGTCATTGGTCAATGATGCCATCCCTCATGAGTTATGTTCTGTTAGATACACATCACTTGATGAGGTGATTAGGTTAGTTTGCAGTTATGGTTTGGGGGCTGAGTTTGTCAAGTGAGACATCAAGTTGGCATTCTGTCTCTTACCAGTTCACCCCTCAGATTTTGAGTTGTTGGGGTTTTGGTTTGATGCCCAGTTTTTTATGGATTGAGCCCTCCCCATGGGTTGCTCAGTTTCATGTGCAGCTTTCAAAACATGTAGCACCTTTTTAGAATGGCCTTTAGAGAACGTACTGGCTTTCAAGGCATAGTGCACTATCTTGATGATTTCTTATTTGTTGATCAGTCAGGTTTGGGTCACTGTTCTTTCCTATTGAGGGAGTTGGAAACCTTGCTCTTGAGCTGGGTGTGCCGCTAAACCCTTAGAAGACTAAGGGACTCATCACTCAATTGGAATTTTTGGGTATTACTATTGATACAATTAATCAACTTTCTATGCTTCCAGGGGATAAAGTTTGTAGCTTGCTACAGTGCCTTCAGCACTTCTCAACCCAACAAAAGGCTACGATGCATGACTTTCAGGAGATTATTGGTCACTTGAATTTTGCTAGTAGGGTAGTTGCCCGGGCAGAGCATTTTTACAG